CTCCTTGGCCCCCGCTTCCCTGCCCGCCTCCACCTCGCTCAGGCAGTGCCCACCTGAAGCCTTGATGGCTCGCGTGGCAGCAGAGTGACCCAGCTCCAGGGAGTGGATGAAGATCTCCGTCGTCTTCTCCCCAGTAATGAAGGTCAACTGGAGAGGGCAGGAGCACACACGTCAGTGGATATCTCTTGGGAGGGGCGGACTCACTTGGCTTTTCCAGCCTGACTGATGCCAGGGGCTGGGAGCGGGGGTCCCATGCCCAGTAGGGCACAGCTGGAACCCGGTGTGTGGGGGAAGGAGTCTCACGGCCTTACCTCTGTCTGATAGACCTGCAGCAGCACTGGGCGGGCAGCAAAGCGGCAGTAGTAGAGCAGCATGTCGGCCAGGATAGGCAGCTGGGCAGGGGAGCCCTCCAGGGGCCTGGATTCAGCCTTCAGGGAATGCTGCGGCCGGTACAGGAGCCAGGCCAGAGGGAAGGAGACAGAGAGCCAGGAAAGAAAAGAAGAGCGGCGAAGGCACACGGGTAGAGGTAGAGAGAAGGGAAGTTCAGAGGCAGACAGCAGGGGAGACAGAAGATGAGACGGAAGCAGAAGACGGGTGGGGGTGAGAAAACTCGGTGCAGCCCCCACACACCCCTCACCTGGCACACAGTCCCCCCGGAGGCCCCTGGCCAAACTGGACAAGCCAGGAGTTGAAGAAGGAAGGTGAAATTGAAGGTCCAAGGGAACCTTCGAGGACCATCTCCTGTCGTTCCAGTGACCCATGTTCTCTCCCCAGCATCCTGAGTTTAGTCTCTTCACTGCCCCTCACTCAACCTCCCTGCTTTTCTCCAAGCAAGGCCTGGTCCTCCATGGAGGCCTCAAGCAGGGTCCCCCCAAGGCCTCAGACTTTTAAGTGAGGTGGAGTGTCAGCAGCCAGTGGGCTTTCAAACCCTACACCGTGGGCCACTTACCTGGCACAGGACTTCAGGGGGTAGGTGCATGAGGTCCAGCACGTTGCGCTCATACCAGGGGTCAAGCATGCCGAGGTAGTGGGAGATGTCATTGGTACTGTCTTCCCATGGGCCCATGCCCAGGTCCTGGCACAAAGGATGAGAGCCATTCCTAGCTACCCAGGAGCCCTGGCTGTCCCAACTGCAGGGACCAGGAGCATAACTGCAGCCCCAAACTGAGCTTCTCTCTGCCCTCAAAGAATGGTGACAAGTTTCAGTCACTGTTGTATGGTAAAATGTCATGCCCAAGTGCAGAGCAGGGACCTGGGAGTGACAGTGAGCAGGAGAAGGTACCCTGTGGACAGGTGATTGCCCTTGAAAGCTCCCGACAGCCCTCCGTTAGGTTCATGGAACCTGCTCGTGCCCACTGCACTAGCCCACCCCATTTGGCCCAGGGCTGGGGACATACTGTAGGACTGGGGTGCCTTGGGGAGTCTGTGGGGAGTGGAGATATCTTGCTTGGAGGGGCTGGGCGGGCACTAGAGCCAGTACCATGGCTTCGCTTCACAGGCACATAGAAGAATTGAAGCTTGAAGAACCGAGTGAGTAGGTGAGTGTTCTCCAACCTCCTGATGGAGAAAAGATGGAGAGAAGTGAACCCTGGGTCGCTCTGTGACCTTAAGCCTCAGACCCTGGTTGCCACCTGCTTAACAACCGTACTACACAGGTCCGAGGAATGTGTGGCACTGTGGCTCTTACCGGAGATTACTATATGCCCGGGCCACCTTCCCTGAAATCCTATCAGAGCCAAAGACTACAACCCGTAGTGTGGAAGCCTTGGAGTCCTCATCCCCACTCAAAAAGGGGCGGCGGCGCTGGTGGCATGAAGGGGGAGCCAGGAGCCAGCTAGGCAGCTGGGCACTGAGGTTGGTCTGGGGCAGGGAACGTGAGCGCTGGGCCCGTGAGTGGAGCTGCACCGGAATGTCCAGGGGGCTGCAGAGGCTTCCTGCCCGCCGCAGAGGCGGGGCTGTGTCCGAGCTGCCCTCCAGGCCCCGCACCACCAGCTGGCTGGTGTTCTTGAAGAGTTTATAGATCCTGTTGAATTTCTGCCTTGGCCTGCAGTGGCCCCGGCACTCCTCGTGGCCAGGCCTTTTGGGCCACTCAGGGGAACTCTCCTCACTGTCCTCTACATAGCCACTGTCCATGCCATCTGAGAGGCCAGAGACAAAGGAGGTGAGCAAGTGACGGGAGAGCCCTGGCCCTGAGGCGTGGGTAGAGGCAAGGGAAAGAGTGGAGTCGTGAGATGCAAAAGAAACGGTGGAGAGCAGTGAGTCTCTCTCAGCACAATGTCCGTGGGTTTCCAAGTCCTCCTCCTCTTCCTCCTCCTCATCTTCCTCTTCCTCTTCATCGCCTTCCAGGATCCCTGGTGGCAGCAAGTCCTGTTCCTTCAGTAGGATTTCCTGCAGGATATCTAAAGGGAGGCAAGAGCATTGTCTGGATGGGAGACCCTTGAATTCCTAAGGAAGGGCAAAGGGCCCTTGTAGACTTGAAGAAGAGCAGAAGGGGGATCAGGGCCGGCACAGGACTCAGCGTGCCTGCCTTTGCTCTGCTTAGAGCCTGTGTAGGGAGCAGGGTGTGTGGGAGTGCAAGGCAGCAGCATAGACCCAGAGCCAGAAGG